CTCTGACTGGCTGTGAGCTCCTCTACGTCCTCATCATCTAGGGCCAGCCCTTCAGCCTCATAGGTGTCCAGCTCAGGGATGGCACGGTAATCCCTCTCCATGCCATCTCCAATCAGCTCTTCTCCATCCTCCTCTTCTTCCATGGGGCCCTCGGTGCCTAGCAGGCCCTCAGACTCATCCTCAAAAGGAGGAAGGTCCCGACCAGGGCTAGAGGTCAGGGCATCCGTGCGCCTTGAGCTTCGCCCAGGGCTGGACGTAAGGGGATCATTGCCTCGCTGCCGCGGGGCAGGACTGGACTCAGAAGATTCCTACAAGGGAAGCAGTGTCTGTCAAACACCTGCAGAAGGTGGGCTGATTTCATAGCCTTTTACCCAGGGAGGTCGTTTCCTACCGCCTGCAACAACTCTTTTCCCAAAAGCAGGAACTCTAAGACTTTCACGCCTGCCACTCCCTCCCAGGAGAAGCCTCTGAGCTGAGCCCTTGGGTTTAGTACACATGGACAGCATGTTCTCACCCTCCGGCCACCCACAGATCCCTGCGTCTTGTTCATGAAAAACCAGAGAGGCCAGGTGGTTCTTTAACCTGTGCACCGTTCCTCCCTCCCCCTTTGGCGGGCACTCGACCACCATTGTGTGCCAGTCATCCTGAGCGTCACCAAACAGCAGGACGCCCGGAATCCACAGGCTGGTGGTGGGACCCGACCCTAAACAAAAGCAAAGGGCAAGGAAAAGTCACATAACAAGGTGGGAGAGACGCAAGACTTGGCCAGGAGAGCAGATGGTGCCCAGGCCGGGCGGGACGGAGTGACTGCGTGGGTACAGAGGAGGGAGGAGGCCGGGTGTTACGGGGTTCCGGGGAAACCCCATGCCAACCGACCCCAGGCAGCGACCCAGGCGCCCGCGGCCCCTGCGAACGGCCCGGTTGCGCCCTGCGGTCCCAGCCCGTCCGCTCACCGCCATCAGAGCGCCGCGCTGCACTCCTTCCAGCTCCCGCAACTAGCAGTTTTCCCGCGAAAAACAGCCCACGTGACCTGCCCGAGCCCGGGAAACGCGGGGAGGGACTAGACGAGACGTCATGACGTAGGCGTCAATTTGCGTCTGTCGCAGGGGTGGGACGCAGGGGCGGTGTGGATGTCTGCCACGCCCACCAGGCTGTAGGCCCCGCCCAAGCCTCTGGTGCGTGCTTAGGTTCTTCTACTAATGTGTGTGCTGGCTAAATGGGGTGGAGGGAGGAGCAGGTCACCGACTCACTTCGTGACATTAGCCAAGGTATGACCGTTGGACGGACCGGGCAACCGAGACCCAGAGCCTGGCTTTTTGAGCACTTCTTCCTTGCCTCATGAGCAATCTCAACTCCCAAAATTGCATTTTTGAGACAGAGTTGTGCTAAGCAGTTCAGGCTGACCTTAAACTCACTTTGTAGCCTACGCTGGTCTTGAACACACAGTGATCCTCTTGCCTCAGCCTCTAGAGTGCTAGGATTACAGGCTTGGGCTACCACGCCTAACCCCAAACTTTTTTTTTTTGGCTACAGTATTGCTGCACAGCTGTGACTCAGTGATCCTCTTGTCTCAGTCTCCCCAGCGCTGGGATTACAGGCATGAGTCACCTTGCCAGGTTTCAGGGCCACCCCGCAGGGCGTGTGGTACCCAGATTGAACTCAAGTCCCTTGCACTTGCTAGGCATTCACTTAGACCACCAAGCTATCTTCCCAGTCCCCCAATTTTTTTTGGTGGAACCTGGGATTGAACTCAGGCCCTTGTGCTTGCCAGGGAAGCGCTTATTCCACTGAGCCATCTCCCCAGCCCTGAAAACAGAAACCAAAATTCTTACCTATCCAATGTAGGTATTTTGTAGGAAGTCACATCTGAGGTTCAAGTGTGAGTTGTCCTCAGGCAGGATGTTCCTTAAGAGTGAGCCTAGGGCAGGGTGCTTAGCTTGTGAGCAGCACTTGCCTGGGAAGCTGCAGGTCCTGAGTTCAGTTCCTAGTACAAAAAAAAAAAAAAAAAAAAAAAAAAAAAAAAAAAACCTGAGGCAGGAGGGTCCTAAATTCAAACCCTGACTGGCCCCTTAGCAACTTAGTGAGATTCTGTCTTAAAATAAATGACTAAATAAGTAAATAAATAGGGCTGGAGATGTAGCTGAGTGCAAAGGCCCTGGGTTCAATACCCAATACCAAAGAACAAACAAGCAAACAAAAATAAAGTAGAGCAGAGGACCCTATGGAAGTGTACGAACCGTTCTGTAGTTTTGCCAAACAGCTCAGGATGTCAGGGCAGGTAAAACTGGCATTGGAAAGATCGGATCTCAAGAGGTCTGGACGCATGTTGGGGATGATACAATGGTGTAGGTCTTCAATCCTCCTGCTTCCCTGGGACTGAGGTGCTGGAGGCAGATGGGTCTTCCTCCTCTTCCTGGTAGCTGTAGGTAACCAGGACAAAAGATGTTCAAGAGATGGAGTCCGTAGGCCCCCATGCTTGGGGACAGTAAAAGAGAGGCTTGAGTAGGTAGGCTAGTGGCACCACCACTGAGATGGGGGTGCAGAGGATGAGTTTGTTTCTGCCTGTGATGGCTTTTGGGCTGGTTAGAGAATCTCCCCCTTTCTATACTCTAGGCCACTTACATCATTCTGTTTTCTTTTTCTTTCCATTTTAAATTATTTTGTGAGCTAGGGTCTCACTATGTAGCCCAGGCTAGCCTTGAAATTGTCTCAGTATGTATCCCAGGTGGGTCCTTTTGCCTCAGCCTCCTGAGTGTTGGCATTACAGCCATGCACCACTACATCTGGCCACTCTGTGTCTACTTCATGAACAGTCATAACAGTTTACCACCAAGTGGGCCCAGTAGAACCCAGTCCATGAGAGACAGCTCTGGCTTCATGGTCACCTCCTATGCCCTGGTTACCTCTGCCAAGTTTTGGTAGCCTGGTAGGCTGCTTTCTAAACTGTGCATGGCTCTCCACTGTGGACATCCTGCCTTAGTCTAGAACCTGGTCTACACTGTGGTCTTCCTACTAGAGCCTGTCATAAATGTCACACAGCATTTCCCCACCACACACACTCCTAATTTCATGGGTCTTGTGGGTCCTGTGGCTGTGGGGACAGTCCTTCCCTGTAGCCTGACTCCAAGCTGGAAGCCTTTGTCACCTGCTGATGTTCGGGTCACAGCAGCCTGTGCAGGTGTGGAGATTGCTGCCTCTAGGCCCCTGAAGTGGCCTATAAGCATTGTGCTTCTTTTTGGGTGGTATGATGTGTCCTTTCTTTTGCAGAGGGTGAACCCCGTATGCCCCAGACTGCTAGCCCCCTTGAGCACCATCAAAATGCTCCATCACAGGGTTTAGTGCTGCTCTCTGGAGCACATTTATCTGGCCAGTGCAAAGTCTTCACTTTCTTTTTTTTTTTTAAATATTTATTTATTTTTTATTTATTACATTTATTTATTGTGTGTGTGTGTGTGGCCAGCTCAGCCCACCAGGGGGCGGGGCTGGCTGGCATGTGGTGCTGGGGATCGAACCGCGGTCCCTGTGCTTTGCCAAGCTTGTTTCAAGTAGGTGCTTTAGACCACTGAGCCATCTCTCCAGCCCAGTCTTCACTTTCTTATTAGTCCTTGCTCATCCAACCTGACTGAAAATGGAAATCAGTGTCATTTTCTGCAGTAAGTCCAGGCTACATATCCCTATGCCATGGACAGAGCAAGAGCAGATAGGTGTGTTCTGCCTGTCCCTGTGCATTTGAGGGGTTCCAGACAGGGATGGGAAAGAGGCTTGGTCAGTGGGGAGGCCACATGCCATACCTGCAGCTACACAGCTGTGGGCAAGGCGTTGAGGTCCGTGGTATAGTATTTGGGAATTCACCTCCATTCTGTGTATTCATTTAAAGCCAGACTGATAAATTAAATAGGGGTACATCTGGGTATGGTGGTGCAAGCCTATAATCCTAGAAGTCAGGAGGCTGAAGCAGTAGGATCGATCGCCAGGAGTTTGAAGCCAGCTTGGGCTATGTACTGACTTCAAGTGCAGCTGAACTACATATCGAGACCATCGCAAAAGAACCAAAAATAAATATGTAAATAAGTATGGATACAATTAAATAGAGGTGCCAGACGTGGTGGTTTATGCCTGTAATCCCAGAACTTGGGAGGCTGAGGCAGGAGGATCACTGTAAGTTCAAGACCAGCCTGGGTTACAAAGTGAGCTCAAGGCAAGCCTAAACTGCATAGCGAGACCCAGAGAGAGAGAGAGAGAGAGAGAGAGAGAGAGAGAGAGAGAGAGAGAGAGAGAGAGAGAGAGAGAAACTAAATAGAGGTGCAACTCCCAGCCCCACATGCTTTCAGTATGTAAGGATAGCATTAATTTCTGATATTTTCTTTGGTCTGTGATTTCTAAATTTTGTGGTACTGGGAGTTTAAGCCTAGGGCCTCAACTCCTGTTCTGCCACTGAGCGACACCTCTTAACCTTTTTTATTTTCAGACAGGTCTGGCTAAATTGTTCATGTTAGCTTTGAACTTGCAGCCTTCAGCCTCTAAAGTAACTGGCATTACAGCATGAGCTACCACACCCATCTGTGATACTGCTTTTTACTATCTTCACTGGGGCAGTAGATGTTGATGTTTGGGGGGGGGGGCTTTTCTTTTCTTTTTTCTTTTTGCAGAACCAGGACCGAGGACTTGAGCTTGCCAGGCAAGTGCTTATTCTACTGAGCCATCTCTCCAGCCCTGGGTGTGAGGGGGGTTTTCTTGACTTTGAAAGCACTATGAAAATTCTCACCCTGAAGACCAAGGAACTGGTGAGTGCCTCCTGTCAACTCCTTAGTGTATTCTTTGTGACACAGCTTTCCTCACCCTACAGCAGTTGAACCCACCTGCCCTCTACCTGGCCTTTAGCATTTGGGGTTGCTATCCTGCCCTCTGCCATCAGAGGGCGCGATTCTACAACTGCAGCATATTTGTCAGGTTAGGGTAGAGTGGGTGCTGCCCTCGTGCTTGGTGTGGGGCAGGAACAGAACCTCAAGAGTCAGATCTTTATTAAACTTAACATTTATTGAACTTCGTCGATGCCACACTACCTTTGCCCTCAGACCTCCTCCCTACCGGCAGCCTGTACTGTGTGTGTGTGTGTGTGACAGCATACACTTGAGAAAAAGTGTCTCCCTATGTAGTTGAGATTGGCCTCAAACTCGCAGTGATCCTCCTGCCTCAGCCTCCTCAGTGCTAGGATTAGAGGCCTGCATTACTATGCCCAGCTCAGAAGCCAGTACTCTTAAAATGCAAAAGAAGAAAGGGGATCATTAGGCCTGCTCACAGACACCTGCCTTCCTTGCACCAGATAGGGGGTGTTTTCCTGCCCTCTGCAGGCTAGAAGTGGTTTAGGATTTTTGTTTTGTCTTGTTTTGCTTGGTATAAGCCATTGGCAGGTGTAGACTTGTTGGCAGGTGCTCAGGCCTGTGCTGACTCTGTGGTCCCCTGGGGCTTGGTCATGAGTGACCACAATAGCAGGCTCACCCAGACTCTCCGGCAAACACGGAAGTAGCACAGACTGCACCCCAAATGAGCTCCAGGCAGGGTATGCTGGGGAGAGTACCAAATCCCCATGGTTACTCTGGTCTCCTCTTGACCAATCCCACAAGCCTGAGCACTGAGATAGAGAAGGGGCCCTGCCACCAGCCCACCTGTTTGGTCTGGGATACCTGCGTTGGGTGACTTCAAAACCGAGCACCAGCGCTCTGCACCAGGCACTTAGTGGGCCTAGGGCTCAGCCCTGGTGACACTGACAAGGCTGGGCTGCCCTGAGGAGGGGGCAGGTGCCTGGGAGGTCATGTCAGGGAGGTTGCTCGCTGCTCCAGCGAGGGTGTCAGGAAGTTCACTTCAAGGAGGATGTGACAGGGACCCACAGACGCTGCGATCCAGGGACACAACTGGATACTGAGCTCATGGATGAAGCAGGCAGACAAAGGACACAGAGAATCCCGGAAGGCTGTCAGGAGGAAGGGGCCTGAGAAACTGCAGTATGAGAGGGGGAGGGACTGGGTCATTTCCTAGCTGTGTTATTTAACCCCTTTGAAACCTCAGGTTCCTCCCAGTAAAATTCGACTCCCAGTGCAAGGCGGGATCGTGAGTGACTGTCACTCTGTGGTGCCCCATTAGCGTCATCCCCGCAGTCAGGCAGTGCGTGTGAAGGGAGGGCCACCCATCCCAGCCTAAGAGACTTGAGGTCACCGGGCCAGCAGAGGAGGGCAGTCTTTGGAGGCCCCGCCTCGGACAGCCTGCCTAAGTCTAGGCTGGAGGCGGAGCGACGGTGGTCGCAAATGCCGCTGCTGATGGCTGCCCGCGGCGGAGGACGCGGCAGCGGAGTTAGGGCGCCCGGTGCGAGCGAGTCTGTGGCCCGGGCCATTTTCCGGGTTTGAAACCCACGGCTTCGCGTACCCGCACTGTTTCTTTAAGACGTCTGCAGGACGCCCCGCCTCTTGGGGCTCTGATTGGTCTTATACGAGCTTTTCGGCGGAGGCTCATTTCTATAGGCTATCTCAGGCTGGGGGGCGGGCCTGAGTGCAACCAACAGGGACTGTGGCTGTTTTCGTAGTTTGGGATGAACGAAAAAGACGGTTGAACCGGCCAGGTCGCAGCTTCCAGGAAGGAGCGCGGCACGGTGTCCTCGGGATTGGAAGGCTTTGCGCACTGGCCACGTCTCACCGGACCCTGTTCCCTCCTCTTTGCGCGTAGCCCTCTTCCGCGCCTCTTGCGCGACGCTCCCCGCCCCCACTGCTGACCCTGGGGGAGGCAGAGACCTGCGGCCTGAGCCGTCCTCGCGGCCCGGGTCCATCCCGGGACCGGGCTGAGTACGCCGGGCTCCTAGGTAAGAAGGAGACCCTCGCCCTGGGATTGCCACGGCGGGACGCTTCACTCCCTCCCGGTGTCTTTTCCACGCATGTCCCTTCCCACTTTTGCAGGGGAAGCCTTGAGAACGCTTCCGAGGGGCCCCCGGGACTCGCGGGAAGAGAGCAGGGTGACATGCCGGACTGGAGTGGGGACTATGGCCCGGGCCCAGACAGGGGTTCTTGGCCCGGGCGTGACAGGGTTGGCGCTGCCAATCCGTCTGGAGCTGAACCTGACCCTGATCTTGGAGTGCCCGGGGTCGTGCTGCTGCCCAGAGAGGAGCAGAGACCATTTATCTCTCGTCGTTTGTTCCCTTGTCCTTTGCGCTGAGCACCGACTTTGTCAGCACCGCGCTAGGGAACTGGGTCAGAAGGGTCAGAAGGTGCGACGACAGACAGTAAACACCTGGGCAGACTAGAGACACAGGTGGGCCGGCCAGGTGTCACCTAGGAGGTCGAAGCAGCGGTGACAAGATTTGGGCCAGGATAAGGAGCCCGAGCATGGGACAGCTTGCACTACTGCGCTGGAGTGGAAGGAAGGGTCGCAGAGCAGCCACAGGGCCTGTCCAGTCTCACTGGGCCTCACCTTCCTGGTAGCTCCTGCCTGAGGTGTCTGGGTGGTCACTCTAGGACAGTGTCTGCCTTCCTGTTCCCAAGGCTGGAGGATAACAGGGAGGGGCAACAGAACTGGCTTCTGTCCCGTGGTTTGGGTGCAGAGTTTGAAATCTTTATATCCCTGGAGCGGTGGGAAGATTTGGGGACCCTACAGGGCCTCACTTCTGCTCACCCAGTGCTCCAGGCTGAAAAGCTGGGCATCCCCTTCCTGGGCATGCGTGGCATGGGTGGGCGAAAGGTGGCCCCTGAAGTGCTGATATGTAGAACACTCCCCCCAGGGGGAAGGAGCCATCCCTCCCAGTTTCCCTGGTCTCTGGCAAGGCCTGCAGTTGCCACAGGGCCTGTGTCCCTAGCGCTTCCTCTGCACATGCCCCCTCCATATGGCCCCACTCCTTCCTCTCCCAGTTTCCTTCCCCTTTCTCCTAAGCCACCAACCCCTCTCCTCTTATCACTGCTGGCACATCTGTCCCCAAGGCCAGGAGCTCACCCAGAGAAGACCCCAGAGCACCAGGCAGGGGAAGGGAATGTGGGTGCTCCTGGGCCAACTGTCTTAACAATTCAGATGTGCCTTGGTGTGCCTCCCCTTCCCTCCTCTTTATGGGGGACAAGTTGGTCCCTCTGACTTAGAGCCTGCACAGAGCATCAAGTGTGTCATCAGGTGTAAATCTCCTCACCCTGAGCCTGCCCATAGGAAGTGTGTGTGGTCGTTGATTTTTTGAGACAGGGTCTTACAATGTGGTCCAGGCTGGCCTTGAATTCACTTTGTATCCCAGGCTGGCCTTGAACTCACAGCAGTCCTCTGGCCTCAGCCTCCAGAGTGCTGGGATTACAAGGTGCGGTTATAGGTGTGGACCACCACAACAAGCTCCTTGTGTTTTTTTAAAAGAAGCATAAAGGGATTTATTATGCATAAACTTAAAGAAGTAGAAATAGAATTTCTGGTCCTCAAGAGAAAGAGTTGCATTACATTCTGAAGCTGAGGACACTTACATTTCTCTTGAGAGGGTGGGACATATAATTAGAGTTTGTTGGAAGTTTCTCTTGGGTCTTGGCTTATGGGACAAAGATGGCTCACCCATATAAAGATAATGGACCATTCATAGGGAGAGATCTAATTTAGAGGCCAAAAGGAGTGTTTGCTTGCCATTCAAGTGATCCTCCTGCCTCAGCCTTCCCAGTGTTGGGAATTTTAGTTATATGCCACCACACCCTGCTTACTGGCTGGTCCTAGTATACAGGAGGTCAGTGCAGGGGGAGCAGCCTACACCCTCCTGTCTTCACCCCATTGCATCTGGATCTGGGAATGGATCCTTTCCTCATTCTCCCAAGCCCCTCCCCTATAAGAGAAGCAGCAGTTATTTTGAGTGTGTGTTGCTGGTGTAGCCACTGACTTAGCTGGTTTTGTTTGATCCTCGAAGCGTGCTAGGTAGGTATTATCATTCCTGTGATACTTAAGTGGGGGAGTGATTCACCCAAGGTCACCCAGCGAGCATGTAGTAAGGTCGGAAGTGCCACCCATGTTGGCTCACTCCATAGCCTAGGAAGCTGGAAACTTTGAGAGAAATGGGGATTTATGGGATTTTATAATGGAAAAGGGCAAGAGGTAGGATTGATGACAAGTGTGGCTGTACCCTGAGGCTCAAATGAACCCTTCGCAGCCTGTCTCCATCTGTCTTTCAGCTCATCGTAGCTCTACGCTGGCTTTACTCTCAAGTGGGGGCCCAAGTAGGAACTAAAGTGGAGCGTGTCTTACTGACAGCTCAGCGGGAACAGAGTAAGCACTTGCCTGGCAAGCACAAGGACCTGAGTTCAATCCCCAGTTCTGAAAAAAAAAGGAACAGGGTATTTCCTGATGATGAAAGCCAAAGTCTTAGGGCAGGTTCTCATTGGCCAGGGCAATGGTGTGTGCTGACTGGCCAGGCTTAGGTCATATACACATCTTTGGTTGTGAAGGGGCAGAGCCAGACACACCAGCCTCACAGACAAAGGGAAAGTTGGAGTTTTCCTGGGGAAAATGGGGTCTTCCTGCTGGCTGACCCTCTACTCTATCCCACTACCCTCACTGGTTCAAGCCACTGTTCCCCCTTGGGGCATTGTTACCATATCTCCTCAAGGTCTCCTTTATCCCATTCTGCATTCTTTGGTGTCTCTCCAGAAAGTTCTTTGTTCAGCTTTTCCCCGGTGGCTGGGTCCTTCTCAGTTACTTAGCTCCTGTTGCAGCATCACCTGTCTGACCACCCACCCCAAAGTAGTGTCTTTATAGTCCTCGAGATTCAAGTATAGGCCCTGAAACAAGGCCAACAAAAGAAGACAAGATGACTCTTGTCTGTTGCCTGGCAGTCTGTGCAAGTAGGACTTGCATGGCGGGACCCCATGCAGTGCCTTCTTGATTTATTATCCTCAATGCAGGTTTCTGATCTTGTGGTCTAAAGTGGCTGCTTTTGCTCCCACCATCACATCCACGTTCTAGCCAATGGAAGTGGCTAGCCTCACTCTGTTCAAGTCCAGTTGTACAGAACTGAGCCACATGGCCACACCCACCTGCAGGAGGAGCTGGGAAAAGCCCCACTGCTCTGGGAAGCCTTGTGCTGTCTGCTGCAGAGGGGAGGCTGAAATAGCCCACCTTCTCTCTTCCTTCCTTCCTGCCAGAGCTAGATGGTACTGGCATCTCATGGCCCAGGCACATGGAGAGGCTGTCCCTGTGTCCTCTCCCCCAGCGCTGGCCTCAGAGACCATGTGGCTGACATACAAGCATTGTGGATCATGCTGCAGCGAGGCCTTGACTTGTCACTAAGACAGAGCAGTTACTTTCTGGAATTTGCCAAAGGCGGGAATGGTGACATGCACCTCTAATCTGGAGACGGAGGCAGGAGGATCGAAAGTTCAAGCCCAACAGGGCTTAGCCACTCATGGGGGATCCTCTCTGAAAGAATAATAAGGATCTGGGATGCAAAGACCCTGAGGTCAATCCCTAGTACTGCAGAAATATTCCTGAGTATACCTGTGATGTCGAAATCCTAAAAAAAAAAAAAAAAGGAATCCTAGGTGCTGTCCTAGGGCTCCTACCCAGTGTACAGCCTGCACACCTGCTGCCTCGTTCCTGCCTCCCCCCCCCCCCCCCCAGCCTGTTGTTCTTAAGGATCCCACTGCCTACAGGGCTGTCTGGGGCTGTGGTCTTCTCTTGCCTGCCACCTAGTGGCCGGCCTTGGGAATGCGCTGTTTCCTGGGCATCAGTGCTGTAGGACTGGAAAGCCTAGTCATCCTGCCACTGTGTCAAATCAGCATCGCAAACATCCACATCCACCAGGTCCCGGACCGGCTCACTATGCCCTGGACTCCTGGACACTCTCCAGGTCCCTGCTTCTTTCTCCTAAGTGTCCCTTGACCTGCAAGTCTGTGTTCCACTCTTCCAGTTATTGCACCTGGTCTCCGAAGCCTAGGGTGGCTCTCAGGGCCCCAGGCTGCAGCTCTCCTGTCCCCAGGCTGGGCTCTTGGATTTTCATACCCTGATCACCTTGTGGGCACCTGGCTTGTGACGGCTCCCTTGGGCCCTCGGTGGTGCCTCTGTTCCCTCACACCTGTCTCTACTTGGAAACCTCCAATGTATCCCCCTGACCTAGCCCCAAATCCCCTGGGTGGTGATTACTATGGGGTTCTTAGGAGCTGTGTGGCCTCAGGGGGTTGCAAGGGCTTGTGGCCAGTACTGTGTGGTGTGGCAGGCAGGGATACTGAGGCACAGTGACCAGGAAGTCAGGGGCAGCGCTGGGATCTAAAGCCACAGCCTACACTCTGGACCTCTCTGCCACCACCTGTCTGTCCCGAGCCCACTGGGAGGACCAGATGGGCAGGACAGGGTGATGCTGAGTAGCTGGTGTTACTGTGCCTGGCACTTGAGAATGCTCAGATGGAGGGTGGTCTATGTCATTTGAGGCACATGCAGTGCAGCCTGAGACAAGGACAGAACCCCTGCCCAGAGGGCTGGGAGGCCCCACCTGTCACCCACAAGAGCTGGACTCAGAACTGGGCTCCTGGGGGCAGAGTTCACCAGTCGGTCTGGCCTGGTTTTCCCCAGGGTTCCAAGACCCAGAAGCTTGCTAACTATGCACTTCTGACACCGCAGAGCCGGCTCCTGGTGGGATGGACACCTCAGAGTGGGCCATGTGGGTCAACAGGAGCACACCGGTGCCCCCGCCCCAGGCACCGAACATCAGCGTGCCTCACCGCTGTCTGCTGCTGCTGTATGAGGACATCGGTGCCTCCAGGTGAGGGCACTGCCCACCCCCACTGGCGGCTCTGCCGTGTGGCATGGGCTTGCTGGGCCTGTTGAGGGGCAGCACAGGCTCACCAGTGAGCCCACCTCTGTGCCGTCTCCAGGGTCCGGTACTGGGACCTCATGCTGCTCATCCCCAACGTGCTCTTCTTTGTTTTCCTGCTGTGGAAGCTCCCATTTGCTCGAGCCAAGATCCGCCTCACCTCCAGTCCCATTTTCATCACTTTCTACATCCTGGTAAGTCTGCATGGACTGTGCACTCCGCACTCCAGTGGCCTCAGACCAAAAGGGGAAGTAACTGCTGCTGGGGTGCAGACCCAGCTCAGGCATGGTTCTCTTTCTGCCTCCCTCTCCCTCTCTCTGGCCTGAGCTCAGTGAGCTCCTCACTGTGGAGACAAAGGTGGCCCTGAGAAGCTCAGTGCTAAGTGTCCTCCAGAGCTGCTCTTTCCTCAGTTCCCTTTGACCCGTGTTCACAGCCAGCTTGTGGCCATCAAGGGGAGAGGGACTGTGGAGAGGGAGGGTGTCTCAGCCCTACCAAGGAGACCAAGTGAGGTCGCTGTTCCTTGAGAAAATTGGAGAACAGGTTTGAGAGGGAAGGGGAAAGGGCTGGATGCTGGGTGAGGGGTCATCACCCATCACCTGCCTGTCTATTCCTCCATTCCTCTGTCTGTCCAGGGAGACCTCCTGGGGCTGACTTCTCTCATTATGTGGTGGTTTTTGTCCAGGGCCATGGCTGGAAGGAACCTCCAGGTGTGGGCACACAGGTGCAGGCTTCCCAGCTCCCTCCCTCTAGGTTGTAACCCTGTGGAGTCTTCTCTGCTCTGGGATGCTTAAATGAGCTTAGATGTCACCACCTGAGAGGCAAGTGGCTCCCAGGTCCCCAGTTCTGGCTCAGGGAGGGGCATTGGGAGCCCTGCAGGTGTTCCTGAAAGTCCAGGCCCTGGGTAGTTGCTGCCCTCCTGGCTCTAAGAGGCGGTCCTGGGGACTCCAGGCCTACTTCCTTCTCTGCCCCTCTGACCATTTACTCTTTGTGTATTTATTCAGCAGATACTAAGCACCTATTGTATGCCAGGCAGATGTCCTCTTTGAGGAGTGAACAGATCCACGGCCACATACCCAGGACAGGGCAGGCTATACTCCTGGCCTGTTTCCTCTTGGGGAACCTTTGGTCACAGAGCCTTGAAAACAGTGGGGAGAAGATTCTGAGCCCTGGCTGGAGGGCTGTGTGACCCTGGCCAGCGGCTTGCCCTTCTGTGCCCTCCTGGGTCATGTGTGTTAGGTCTGCTTCACTGTATGGTGTCCTCATGAGCACCAGCTAAGACCCCCTCAGTAGGCACAAGCGACAGTGTGCAGCCTTCCCTCCGCATGGCACCAGCCTCCATGGCTCAGGAAATTTTCAGGGCCCACTTCTGCCACACTCACCTCATGATGCTCTCAACAGCCAAAGGCAGCAGGTGCTGTTGTTACCCTTACTTGATAGAAGAAGAAATTGAGGCGTAGAGGTGCAGTCGGCTGCCTGAGGTCACAGTGGAGTAGCAGCCTGTCTGGTTTCACCCCTGGTAACTAGCCATGCTGGCCAGGAAGTTGGGGTGCAGGATAGAGGCAGCTGTGAGATCAGTGCAGTGGGGGGTCTCTTGATACCTGGAGCCACCTTTGGCCTCCCAGCCTCCGACTAACTGCTTCCTTCTTTCCTTGCAGTCAGGAGGGCTCCTGCAGAGTGGTTGAGCCTGGTGGCCCGCCTCTCCCAGGCCTCTGGCTCTCTGATGCCTGCCTGTTCCCTCCCTCTCCCCAGGTGTTCGTGGTGGCCCTGGTGGGCATTGCCCGGGCTGTGGTTTCCATGACAGTCAGCACCTCCAGTGCTGCAACAGTGGCCGACAAGGTGTGTCTGGGCCAGCCCTCAAGGGAGAGTGGGGAGGCCAGCCTCAGGCGGGTGGACCCCAGGCTGACCACGCCCATCTGCCTAGATCCTGTGGGAGATTACCCGCTTCTTCCTGCTGGCCATCGAGCTGAGCGTGGTCATCCTGGGCCTGGCCTTCGGTGCGTTGCCACAGAGGCTCCCTGTCTTCCTCTTTCAAGGTGGGCTGAGCTGACACTTCACTGGGCTGTCTGCCCCTGGCTGAGCTGTGTTTCTTCCAGGTCACCTGGAGAGCAAGTCAAGCATCAAGCGGGTGTTGGCCATCACCACCGTCCTGTCCCTGGCCTACTCAGTCACCCAGGTATGAGGATGGTGCTAGGGTAGACGTTCACTAGGCACCGCTGGCAGACCATTAATTCACCTGGGTGCCTGTCCCAGGCAGGTTCTGGGGCTCCACTAGCTATTGTGACCCAGGACATACAAGTATGGGGGGAGGAGGAGGTGCAAATCTGTCGGTTACCTGCAGTCCAAGTAGGAAAGCCACAGTGGGCAGACCCCTGGGAAAGCTGTGCAGAGGCTGAGGGCTGTACCTCACCCTTTGCTGCCTTTGTTCAAGCTGGGCTTGTTTTGGGTGCCGGGGTTTGGTGGGCAGGATGCCTTGGGGAGCGGGCTGGGGTAGGTGTGATGAGATGGAGACTCAGAGGCGGCACTGTGTCAGAGGAGGCCTCCCTCCTGCAGGGCACCTTGGAGATCCTGTACCCTGATGCCCATCTGTCTGCAAAGGACTTCAACATCTACGGGCATGGAGGCCGCCACTTCTGGCTGATCAGCTCCTGTTTCTTCTTCTTAGTGAGGGCTAGGGCCGGGTTTGGAGCATGGGAGGGCAGTGCTGGGCCAGTCCCGGGCCCCACGCCCCCAGCCCTGTCCTCTCATCGCAGGTCTACTCGTTGGTGGTGGTCCTGCCCAAGACTCCATTGAAGGAGCGCATCTCTCTGCCCTGTGAGCTGGCACCCCGGGTTGTGGGGGACAAGGGGCATGGAGGTTCCTGGGTCGGGCGGAGCCTGGCCAGCTGGGCAGAGCCTCAGACCCCCTCTACCCACAGCACGAAGAAGCTTCTACGTGTACGCGGGCATCCTGGCACTGCTCAACCTGGTGCAGGGGCTGGGCAGCGCACTGCTGTGCGCCGACATTATCGAGGGGCTCTGGTACGCTTTCGCACTGGACGCTTGGCCTGGCGCAGGGGCGTGGCCAGGGTGGGCGTGGTTTGGCGGGCAGGTGCCGGCCTAACCCGCAGCTTGACTGTCTATCACGCTGCCGCACAGCTGCGTGGACGCCACCACCTTCCTCTACTTCAGCTTCTTCGCTCCGCTTATCTACGTGGCCTTTCTGCGGAGCTTCTTCGGGTAAGTCCGCCGGGCCTCGCCGACACCTGGCTTAGTGTAGCGTGCGCCCCCGCGTGGCCACTGGCCGTACTGCAACTTGCGTGCATATGTTTGTGCAGATGAGTGTGTGTGTGTGTGTGACTTTGTACTACGCATCGGCACAGGCTCTCCCACATCCATACTGCGGAGACATGCGCACGGACAGGCACACTGCCTGTTTCCTCAGTAACATACTAGCTCTTTGTAGAGAGGATGCGTTGAGTACCTGATGTGTGTAAACACCGCAGGATCCACAAGACCCCATCCTGCCTGCAGCCCGCACTCCAGCAGAGAGGTCTAGGCCATGTGTGCATGCACCATAGGGCAAGGGCCTTGCGAGTGGCCGTTGTGCAAGGGCCAGCAGGGGAGCAGCAGATTCCAGATACTGCTGCCTCATTTGCTGGTGTGGTGGGACTGGGGCAGGGGTTTAGGAGCCCTTGCATGGAGGAGGGGATCTGCAGGAGAGGTGAGGATGGGGTTGGAACTGGATCCCACACACAGCTTCACTTCTCAGGCTCCTATTAGTAAGCGGGGAGTAGTCTCTTCTTGTCCATCTATCTGAGCATTGCAGAATTAGGGAAGGTGGAGAGGACAAGGTCCAGGGAACAGGGCTTGGCACCAGCCTGGGTTTCCAGAGTTTTCCTGATTCAGAGCTGACTGTTCCAGCTCCCAGGGCCCCAGAAACGGCCAGGTTCATGGCCAGGCTTGCTGGACTTGAGTGCCAGGCTTTGGGCAGCTGTGAGCATGTTCTAGAGACCTGTCGCCTCCCAGCTGCTCCTCACTCCCCTCTCTTTTGCTGCTAGCTCGGAGCCCAAGATCCTCTTCTCCTACAAATGCCAAGTGGATGAGACAGAGGAGCCGGACATGCACCTGCCTCAGCCCTATGCTGTGGTCCGACGGGAAGGCGTGGAGGCTGCTGGGGCTGCGAGCACACAGTTTGACTCTGCAGGGGTAGCCTACCTGGATGATGTGGCTTCCATGCCGTGCCACACTGGCAGTATCAACAGCACGGACAGCGAGCGCTGGAAGGCCATCAATGCCTGAAGGGCTGTGGCTCATCCTGGGGACCTAGGAGAGACTTGGGGAAGTCAAGGCCAAGTGAGGGACATGGGTGGGGGGTCCCTGCATCCTGAGTCTGCAGGCCACTTCCTGTTGTTCCCCTGTGTTCCAGCTAGACTCCTTTCTTTGCCACCTGGCCTTACCCTGCTCAGTACCAGGCCCAGATGCCATCTCCCAGGGCATAGCCTGGCACCTAGGATGGCTCTGCTGGACCTCAGAGTATGGTAGCCTCAGAGCCTGCTGTGGGGCTGGGCTGCAATGTGTATATTTTCATGTTTTATTTTTTAATAAAAAGGAAAAAGTAGGAGGTGTTGCTGTGGAAGTTTTGCAGGGATGCAGGGGCTGGCGGGAGGGGGTGCTGGGAGATGCAGGCCAGATGGGGAAAGAGAACACCCCGCTGTTTCCAGGACCTTCCTTCCTCCCACCATATTAGTGGGGCTTGTGTGAGCCTGCAGGTCCTGTGCTTCCTCCCTTCTCCTGTTTGGCCCTAGTTTTGCTGTCTGTAAAGTGGAGATGAGGCCTGTCTTGGTGGGTTTAGTGATATACCCCTTATCCTGCACTGTAGAGGATGAGGCAGGAGAATTGCTGTGAGTTAGAGGCCAGCCTAGGCTACACAGTGAGGCTCTGTCCCCAAAACAAAACAAAACAAAAAATCCTGTCTTGCAGGATTTTGTGAGCTCTGGAAATCCTGCAGAGGCCTGGTTTCTGGGAAAGGCCTAGTAACAACAGTGCTTAGTATTTTAGCATCCAGGTAACACCAGGTTTGCATCAGGAGCAGAGGGATGCTATGGGAAGGCATTCACAGCAGGAGTGTGCAGGTCGCTTAAGGTGGGGAGTTGTGAACTGGGGCCATCGAGTGACTGCAGGGCCACACTGCTGTGGTTCCAGACTGGGCTCTGAGAATGGACCTCTGGTCAAATAGGTGATTCTCAGGGCAGAGAGGAGACAGCCGGGGTCCCAACTGGACTGCAGCTGCAGACCCTGGGAGAGGCTTAGGTCCCATGGCCAGGGGGACTGCAGGGCCAGCTGGCACCTGTCTCAATGCCAGCCCCAGCTCAGGAGGGCACCAAGGACCTTGACCTTACAGCAGCGTGTAGCCCAGGAGCCATTGTTTTGTGCTTCTTGGATGTGGGACCTAGAGGGTGTCAGCAGCCCTGTGTGGGCAGTGCCATGGTGCAGCTGGAGTGTAGGACAGTGGGGACACAAGGCTGGCAGGGTGACCTAAGAGTTGGCTGCCCTGTATTACACTCTGGATACACCACAGGGATCATCCTGTGAGGCCACTGTTGGCATCTGAGCCTGTTTTACAGCTGTGGCCATATCTGGGATCTCATGCAAATGAGTCTGCATGGATCTGAGCCTCTGGGCATCCGTGGGAGTCAGTGTGGAGGGGACCAGCTTGGCCACACTGCTGCCCAGCTGCACCAGCTATGACAGGCAATGGATGCCTGTTACCTGTCATCACATGGATAGGAAACAGGGCACAGGGTTCAAGGCCACCAGGGGGATGTGAGTCCCAGGTCCTGATGCTTCATTCAGATGATATCTACCCGCCCTACCCCCTGGCTCTGCAGGCCCTGGTGGCCATGCACCTGCTCTACAGCTGGAGGACTGTGGGATGGAGAGGTCACATGGCCCAGCCTGTGGCAGGGTGGACTGTGACCCTTGCACAGCACTGTGACTAGACCAGAAATCTCATCTTCCCCGTGATGGCGGCTTCGAGCTGTCACTGTGTTGTCACACTGGGGTCAGTAGCTCCAGCCACTCTATATCCTCCAGGTCCACAGACTACCACAGAGTGTGCCCAGAAGTGTTTTCTTTCCTGTGTCTTTGGGGACAGATACCCAGAGGGACATGAAGCAAAGCAGGATTCATTCGCCTCTGTGAATTGTGTTCGAAGTCACTATGGCCAGAATCACTGGGACAGAATCATTTACGAGTGTCCAGGCAAAGGCCTCTGGGGAACAATGACCTCTACCACCAGGAAGAGACCAAGCCTCAGCTCCTGGGATGAGAGTACCCACCCGCTGGCCCGGAAACTCATAACTGCGAGACTGGTGTGTGGGGGGGATGCATACCCAACTGGTCATGGGAAACTCTGAAGGGGCATCCAGAATACTCTCCACCTTGTTTCAAATCCTGACTTCATCATCCTCAGAGAGTTCAGTGGGCTTGGTGGCACAAGTAGTTGCAGCACACTGGGAGGCTGAGGCAGGATGATCTCAAGTTGAAGCCTAGGCTGGGCAATTTAATGACTTAGTGCGATGCTATCTCAAAATAAAAAATAAAAAGAACCAGAGATGTAGCTCAGAACAATGAGTCTTGGATTCCAAGGGATTTTGACGACATAAACCAAATCCCCAAGAGCCTGAATAAGTCAGAATGTAAGTATTAGGAGGTGTCACACAAACAAGCACATGCACACACAACCCTGAGTTTTGACTTCTGCCCCCCAAACCAAACATCCCTAAAATGTACCAGTGCCAGACTGCCCTGCCTGAGGCCTGATGAGTTCCCTGGCCTGCTTGGGCTCTCTGTGGAGTGAGACGGAGTGTAATTATCCACCAGCAAAACGCTCTCACCATGAGCCCGCTTCCCTACTGGATCCCTGCTAGCTAAGCGGCCATGTGATCTTATTGGTTGCTGATTTGAACCAGGCGGTTTTCACCTTGAGCCTTTGCCCTATATAAGACAACTGTGGCAACCCACTCAGGGCGCCTCCTGTGTCTCAGGAGCTGGTCCTACTCCCCAGTGAAGTTTTTCTACTCTTATCCTGCTTTGGAATTGTTTTGGAATTCCTTCCTCGATTCCAGGGGACTCAGTGTATATGGCATCTAGCAGCCTGGGAGTTACATATCTCCTACCTCACAAGCGCCCCGCACCAGGACCTGTTACTAACAGAAGACCGGAATGGCTTCTCACCCTGTGCTGTCCCCCTACTAAAGAGAAGGAAAATAGACCTGTAAAGTACACTCTTTTCCACCTGACAGGAGCTGCTTTACAGCGCCAGAGGCCGGCTCTGTTCTTGCCACTGTAAGGGAGCGGGCTGTGTTTTCCTCTCATCCTGCTGCGGAATTCCTCACCAGCAGACAGAAGTGTATGGGTTTTCAAGGCTAAATGCAGAAATTTCATTATTTGGCACTCAGAGGTGGCAGTGAGTAGTTTCAGCAGCTCCAAAGCTTGGCTCCAGGAAGATGGAGGCAGTGTGGACCGGGAGAGGGAACCTGGCTGCCTGCTGCCTGTGTTTCAGGTACTGAGAGGACTTGGGAGGATAACTGTAGTGTGCCTCAGCCCGAGGAGGACATGCAGGGCTGCCTTGCTGAGGTGGACGCTAGCCAGACCACAGCTCGGTGTGGTGGCACATGCCTGTGAACTCTGCATTTGAGAGGCTGAGACGGGAGGAGCACCACGAGTTCAAGGCCAGCCTGGGCTACATAGTGAGTTCAAGGCCAGTCTGGAATACAGAGCAAGACACTGTCTCTAAATATATGGTTGTTGTTTTTTTTTTTTTCCCCAGAACTGGGGATTGAACTCAGGACCCTGTGCTTGCCAGGGAAGCGCTTATTCCACTGAGCAATCTCCCCAGCCCCTGTCTCTAAATATAAACATACATACATACACACACAGAACAAAGCCTGAGGTCACACAGTAGCAGTCCAGACCAGCAGGGGCTCCATGATGTTCCCCACAGCCCCAGTCTCCTGCCTCTGTGCTCTTCCCTTGAGAAGGAGGCTCTCAGTCCCAAGAGAGCTGCTGTCGTTCCAGCTGTCCCATTCTAGCTTGTGCACTGTGACCAGTCTCCCATTTCTGTGGGAGGAACTGTCCCAGGGATGCACTTAAGAACTCACTCCTACTTCCTTGGCCAACACTGACTGACATGATCACTCTATTTGCAGGATGTCTGGGAAACATGGGGGTGTCCCTTTCGCTGTTGGAAGGGCTGGGCAAAGCTGCTTCTGCTAAATTAGCCAGCAAGCGAGAAAACAGGCACCAGACACCTGACAGGCTTTGCTGTGTGTCCTGTAGTAATGATCAGCGAGTAAAAGCTGGTGGTACATGATCCTACTGGCCGTAGTTCTGTTTTGTCCTGATCACTCCCATAGGTCTTACTTTTCTGTGTATCTATTTATTTATAGATAGGGTCTTACCACATAACCCAAGCCGGCCTTGAGCTCACTATGTGGTTCAGGCTGCCTTGAATTTGCAGTAATCTTTCTGCTTCAGCCTCTTGACTGCAAGGATTACAGTGTGAGCCAGATAGGTATGGAAACAATTAGCTTATGAGTAAAACATCACAGATACAATCAAAACCTCTATGTGACCCCTCCCTGCCAAACTTCCTCCCTGACCCAGACAGGAAACTGGGACTCTACTTGTGGGCTTTGTGTGGACCCATGCAGCAGTGTGCACACGCGCGTGTACATGTGCATCCATGTGCCTTGGGTGCTTTGGAATTAACCCAGTGAGCTCAGCCTTCATCTGCACGCCTCGTTGCCTCCTCCTTCTGCTTCAGGACACGTCTGTGTTGATTCTCGTAGTTACCGTGCAGCACTCTGCTATGTAAATAGAGCATCATTTATTTGTCAGTTCTGTCAATTCAAGTTGTTTGCAAACTAGGATAGCAAACGTGGTTTCCTTGTGCCTTCCTGTGTCTGATTTTCTCAAGTGCTCTGGAGGGAGCCAGGGGTGGTGGTGCACACCTGTAATCACAGCACTCTGGGAGGCTGAGGCAGGAGGGTCCCAAGTGCAAGCACTTAGTGCTCAGTGAGACTCTGTCTCAAAATAAAATTTTAAAAAAGGGCTAGGGGTACAGCTCAGGGCCAAGACCCTGGGTTTAGTCCCTCATTCTGCAAAACAAAATAAGCCTCTCCCTCCTGGACTGTCTGAGAGCAGCTATCAACATCGTGTCAGCCACCTTGAAGACACGAGTGTGTTTCTGGCTCTCTGTGGCCACAGTGTCATCATGCACCTGGAAAGCCACACAGGTTGGCTGTGACTCTCAGAGCCCGAGTGTGCTTTCCCAGTAGCCTCAGGGATGCTCTTGGGGTCCCAGGGCTGGGCTCAGGACCACATATCACATATCACCTGAGCTCCCCTCAAGCCACCTTTTGTCTTGTTTATTCCTCAGCCTTTTCATGACTGAGAGGACTGCATTTTTGGGGGGTGGGGGGAGATGGAACCCAGGTCTTTCCCACTTTCCTATATCCCTATGATCTCTAACATTTTGGGGGACTGGAAGTATAGCTCAGCAGCACAGTGCCTGCATGGCAAACACAACATCATGAGTTTGATTCCTGGTACCAA